ACACACACAAACATAACTATCATCATCTTCATCATCAACAACTTGAAAAATAAATAAATAAATAAACAGATCTGAGTGATGATGAACTGGTGATCAACAACAATTTGAAAAAAAAAACAAAAAACAGATCTGAGTGATAAGCCGTATGCCGTCGTCTAGGTCAAACACCGGAGCTGCGACGGAGGTCGGATAGAAGTGGTGCTGCGACGGAGGAGGGAGTGATGTCGAAATCTGCGGCGGAGGACGGGCAGAGGCTGTGTTGTTCAGATCTGCGGCAGAGGATGTGGTGGTGGAGGATCGACGGACTGAGGCCGAACAGAGCCGCCGTGGCCATTCTTAGGGCTGTGGTTGTGGGGGTTCTGCGAGGAGAGAGAGAAGCCGCCGTGAGTGAGGGAGAGAGAGACGATGGCGATGTGATCCGTAGAGGAGGAGGAGAGATGTGAGGAATGGAGAGAGAGAGAGAGAGAGAGAGAGAGAGTAGATCTACTTTATGAGAGAGAGTAGATAAGATGGAGATGAAATCAAAAAAAAAGTATGAATAAATATATAACTAAATGAATAAAAGATAGGATGACATTGACCGGGGATATATAATATATATATTATTCGGGGAGATCAACGGGGCGGGCGGGGTTCGGGGCCGGGGCCGGGACTGAAACGTGTGTCCCCGTCCCCGGCCCGAATATCACATGGATTTTTTTTTTTATCACCATCCCCGGCCCGTCGGGGGTATTTTTCGAGGAATAACCGCTATATTCGGGATCGGGGGGTCGGGTCCCCAGCGGGCCGGTTTCAGATTGCCATCCCTACTTGAGGGGAGCATTGGAGTCAATCTTGACAACACAAACAGAGTCAAGGACAGTGTATAGTGTTGAGGAAATGGAAGACTGGTTTCTTCTTCCCGTCCTTGTTGGTTGAGAACCTAGTCCTTCCGTCATTAACCATCACGCTCTTGAATGGGTTTACGCGATACTTCTCACATAGATTGGTTTTCTCGTACTTGCAGTAGACACATTCCCCACACTCTCCGTTGAATATTGGAACTACATGGTCTCCCTCTTTCATGTCCATTACTCCCTCTCCTACACTCTTAACAATTCTACAAACCAAAACCAACCCATTTTACTTTTTTCTTTTAATTATGTATGATGACTAATTAATCAACACTCAATTAATTATTAGCACTATTCTATTTGGATTGAATGAATTTACTTTTAACTAATAAGCGAGTGTTTATTGGAACACAAAATAATAGAACAAGGAAAAAAAGCATGGCCAACAAAATTACCCAGCGGCTTCGTGGCCCAGAATTCGAGGATATACTCGCTGAGTTTCGTTTTGCAAGCGCAACAAAACTTGATGAATAATACCAAAGGCAAAGTAGGCAAAGTAGGCAATCTGTGAGTGACAATGAGCCAAACAAGACCACACCCAACAAAATCCTGAACGACACCAATGGAAAAAACAGCCTAAATGGTTTAACCATATATTCATACATGAAAAAAAAAGTTCAACCATGAAAACATACTATGGAAATCCACCATGAAAGGGAAAGTCTACATATCCATGATTTCCATGCAAAATTATGCACCATGTGCATCCACGATAATACCTAAGCTATAATATTTATGTATCACATAATATATTACCGAAGTCATGTGGCAAACAAAAAGACCATCACAAAATAGATACCATATTCAAATATGACCTTCCAATAACAAAGAAACCCACTTCATCTTGTCATTCTCATCTAAACTGAAGAACAAGTCAACTTTGTCTTCATCTTTCACTATTATAGATGCTGCCATCAACCTTTGGGTAGTACTCATTGGCAACTTCAGAAGTTCTTCATTAACCAACCTCCTTTGTTGGGATAGGTCATGTGAATATCCTATCCTATGAGCAATCTCCACCATCGTAGTATTGGTATTCTCAATGAATGATCCAAGATTTTTTGCCATCTCAGATAGTTCAGTGGGAATCCCCTCAGCAGGTCGAGCCCCTTTTTGTCCAGTTTTAGTAGAGTCAGCACAGTTGGAAATATTACCTGAAGTAGACATTGAGTAGTCCATATCACCTATGTTCATACTAAACTGTTCAACAAGAGACTGTTCTCCCTCTTCTGTAGTTGCATTCGCATCTTCTTTTTCCATGGCTGCAACTGCATCAGCAGGATCCTCAGCTAGTTCACCAGTCGCCCTATCCTTCCCAAATAGAATAAACCAATCTTCATAGAACGGGAATGGCCTATTTCGCATCCCTTTTGCATCTAGCACCCTCTACACAAGTGATTATCCAATTACTAAAAATAACAGATTGATTTACAAGTAAAGAATAATACAAACAACAATAAAAAAAAATGAAATATACCCTGACATAGTTCAGCCATACGTCGTCACTATCAACTAGCACCATGTTCTGTTCATCATCCCAACCAAAACCACTTATCTTTAACATATCTTAAAGAGTGTTATATTGTTTCCTCCACAACTTAATCTTTGAGTCGATGTGAGGAGTGGCTCGAAGATCAGTTCTAGGAAATGCACTTAAGATCTTCTTTTCACATTCATTATAGAAGCCTGCCCTAAACTGATTATTATCAAGCTTCCACCTGGGATTACTTGCGGTTACATCCTTCATGGTTGTAATCAGAAAGACTTCCTCACGGTTATTTCAAAACCTTCGAGGTTTCTGTCACGACCCAAACCTGCCCCTAAGGGTTTAGTATCGTAACCGGCCAGTAATCTGTGATTACCAAAGGCCTGCTTAATAGTAATGACAATAATACAGAGTAAGGGGCTGGCGGAAGCCAAACAGTAAATGAAAGATGTCTAATGAGCTGTGAAAATCTGAATGAAAAATGACTTTTATGGACTAGTCCACATCATAACCATAAACATATATACATATCAGATGCACATAACATACAGGTTAGGGATCTAATCCCTTCACCATAACTGTACAGTCAAGAGTCTTAAGCATTCATTACAAAATAAGGATAAAATGGTGAATCTAAAACACCCCAAAAACAGCCTTGGCTTGAACAGACTCGGGACCTCGAAGTGAGGCATGACGGTTGGCTTAACAAAACGTAAGCTTAACTTGACGCTTCTAGCTTCGGTCCGGTGCCTGGCCACCTACATATATATATATATATATAAACAGTGAGCTAAAGCCCAGTGAGTAATAACTGTGTAAAGGGGTTAAGAATGAATGTCCTTTCAGTAATTAAAACAGTCATTTGCGTCAGTAGATCAGTTATTCAATCAGTGGCTCATATTTCATGCCATATCAGTCAATTAGAAATCATAACAGTCATAAGTGGTACATCCAATAGCAGAACAGTACAATAAGTCTTAATAGACCGAACAGTCAGTTGATGGCCATCAAAACAGTAAGCAATAATAGTTCCAAACATTGAAACTGACAGAGATCTCTATAACAGTAGCAGTAACAGTAACAGTAACAATAATAGTAACAGTAGCAGTCAGTTGCTATGGATGCCATAAGTACAGTTCATAAAATAGGACAAACATTCATTCAGTGAACAATATTATTTCAGAAAACAGTACAGTTAATCATTCAGAAAATAATCATAATTGAACGTAGCTTTACAGCATTGTTACTCACAGATTACTGGGCTATAGACAGGCTAGTCAGCGTCTTCAGGTGCCAACCCTACACAGTTACAGAATGAACACACACTAAGTTATACACTTGGGATTAATAACTTAGCCCCTATATGGCTTGGTGTGGTTCTATAACATTATCCTCATTAAGATGCCTCAAACATGGCCTAGGATGGGATGAGAATGCAAAAATGTACTTTAAAACACTTTTCAAAATTTGCTGAAAACAGGGGTCTCGCTCGAGCGTGGTTTTCTCTGCTCGAGCAAGCTTACCAAAAAGAGGGGTCGCTCGAGTGTAGACTCCCTCGCTCGAGCGGTCTGTAAAAATGCAAAAAGTACTGGTTTCTGAAAATCTCCGCTCGATGCTCGCTCGAGCGTGAGACACAATTCGTCGCTTGAGCGTGAGACACAATTCGTCGCTTGAGTGTGGATCTCGTCGCTCAAGTGTGCATCTGCACACGCAAAAACCTGAGAGCTTACAATCTACACTCGAGCCAGCATTCCGTCGCTCGAGCAGAGCTCTGAACACAAAGGTGCGACTCGAGCGTAGAATCCTTCGCTCAAACGTGGAAGCCAAAATCTGGGTTTTTCATATTTGCTTCCAAAGCTCAAACCAAGAATCAAACATATCAAAACTCGACCTTTTGGGCTAATTTTCTGGAAAACACTTAGAAACCCATAATACAGCATGTTTCAAATATCATTTTATAAAATCAAGCCCAAAGGTGTGACAATTGAACACAATTTTGAATGAAACTTAAAAAACAATGCAAGAACATAACATGCATGAGTTCTCATGAACTCTAATGCACCAAAACATGATCAAATGCAAGATTGAACTCTAAAACATGGTGAATTCTTGAACCACAACTAAAATGTAAACATGCATGTAAGATTTTCATGAAAACAACCTCAAAATGGACATGCATGCATGAATTCCCTCTCAAATTAACACTTTAAGCAAATTCTTGACTTTATTCACCAATTGAACATAATTTCAATGAAACCTTCATGAACAATGCATGTAACAACTTCAATTCATGGTTAAGGGGATGAATTTCCTACCTTAAGTCTTGGATTCCAAGTATGGTAGCCTAATTTTGCAAGTCCTCTTCAATTCCTCTAAATTCAAGCGAAATTTCTAGATGAATACAATTTTCTCCCACTCTCTCTCTTACTCACAGTTTGGTCTAGGAAATTGATGAAGAATGGTGTGTCAAATGTGTGAATTAAGTTCCAAACATTGTTTGTAAAGGTGGCCCACTCAATGGCAATTGTGTAATAACTGAAGCTAATGTAAATTAACATTATTTATTCCAATTTAATCATTCCAAATTGAATTTTAATTAAACCTACCATAAAATCCTACAATTCCTAATTAGCATAAAACACCAATCAATTTTTGAGTCGATCGCCGATAAGGCTTTCAATTCGCAATTCGAAATTAAAACATGAACAGATCATTCAATGACAAACAGATAGAGATGCATTAAAACAACACACTCGCACAACAATTTAGGATTTCATCTTAATCAATTACTTATCATACTTAATTACAATTTAACGCTAATCAGAGGTGAGGTTTGTCATAGTTTCCCCTTTTTACGAGAACTAGTGGTACCTGTGTCATCCATACCTATATATATATATATATGTATATCATGAGGTTAAATCAAAACACACATGGCAATTATAAATAACAAATGAACTTACACAATATTTGTTACAAATACCACACAACAACTAAACAAATATGGTTTGAATTACATGTCATTATAAACTCTCACTATTAAATAAAAATCATCATACAACACAAATTTATTGACCTCTACTTGCTTGCCATTCATTAAACATTTGGGTTGCCAAGGCTGTTCTCCTTTCACTCCATTGATCAGATGCTTCAACAACGTCAATCATTTCATCTCCTAATTCAGTAGCTGGAGGAAGAGGATTCATTTCCTCATTCTCATCATCAACGAGATCCATAGGCATTTCGCGTTGAATGAGATTGTGGAGAAGGCAACATGCAGTGATAATATGAAATTGAGTCTTGATTGGAAAGTAAGAATAGCTCCTCAATATTGCCCATCTCATTTTAAGTAGGCCAAAACACCTCTCAATGACATTACAAGCAGAAGAGTGCCTTATGTTAAAAAACTCTTGTGGAGTTGTTAGGGCACCCCCTTCTCTCCATGTCGAAAGATGGTAACGCTGTCCTCTATATGGTGCAAGAAAACCCCCCCCCCCATTTGTGTAACCCGCATCTACGAGATAGTAGTGGCTTGTAATTATGTAAGATGGTTTCACTATATATGTACAAAAATAATTGTTTAATATAGATATAGTGTACTTATATATATAACAACATATATAATTATCATACTAGTAGGCACTTTCAACCTATTGGGTCTACTGACAGCATCTTTAAGTACCCTAGAATCAGAAGCAGATCCTTCCCATCCAAGTAAGACATATATGAATTGCATGTCTTGTGAGCATACACCCAATACATTTGTGGCAATTTCTCTTTTTCTCATTCTATACCTTAGTTTGTCTATTGCAAGGGCAAGAACCTTAACATAGGTTCCATCTAAAGCACCAAGACAATTCTAAAAATAAAACAATATTATAAAATTAATATAGGCAATACAAAAACATAATTCGCTAACTAAGCCAAGTTGTAAATATATTGTACCTGAAAACAACTCCACCTATCATTTGTACAATTAGCAGTTATTGGTTCAGCCTTCTTAAGGAGGAGACCATAGAGGTGCAATGCATCCTTGAGAACATTATTGAAGTGCTTACTAACTATTTGACCACTCCGCATGAAATTAAATTTAATTTTGTAGTTCTTAGTATGATGTGCAAGCACATTCAAAAACATTGCTAGTTGCTCCTCTAAGACAACATATTTTGAATCAGACAATCCAACACTTCGCACCATCCCACATAAAAGCATAAAAGTACGCCTATTCATCCGAAGTTGGTCATGACAATTTATGTCACTATCGTTGACTAATCTATTCAAATGGTCAATTGTTTTCCATAGGAGTGAGATGATCTAGGTAATTGCAACCTAATTTCTTTCTTCTTGAATGCAGCATGTAAAATCACTATATACATAACACATGCATAATTAATGGATGAAATAACATGTTGGAGGGCTACAAATTCCTCTATAAGGTCCTTTCTCCTTTTCTTAGTGGCATAATTTTTATCCATCTACAAAAAATGAATAAACAATAAGCGGCTAAAGTTAGCACAAAAAATAGAACAAATAATAGATAATAGAAAGTGTTTAATATGATAAAACAAATTGTAATGGCCAAAAAGCCATAGTAGAGTGAGTTTGAATTTATCATATTAAAGATGTGCAGAAAAGTAAAAAAAATGATATAATAACTTATAGTGACTTTTTGACTTTTTAACTAAACTGTATATAATTGATAAACTAGACTTATTATTTCATAAATTGGACGGGACCAAGTGTGTGGGTCTGAACATTTGGCAGTGTTTGGTGTGAAAATCTTTCTGCCTCAAGTTCTTTTACTACATTGGAAATAATGCATCCAGCAAATAGAGATGGCAAGGCTAATAAAATCTCCGAAATGCTATGAGAGAGAAACTGCCCTTTTATTAGGTTCAGTGGAAAAGGCTGGACCATATCAAAAAATGGTAGAAATCCCCCTATCTTTTTTCACAAGTTTAGTTGCCTAGCATAAGATAGTGAAAGAATAGCAAAGCCAGAAACCAGAGTAGCCTTTCCCTTTTGATGGTTACATATAAACATCAGACTGGAGTTCTAAAATCAGTATCATCAGGCCTTCCAGTTTAGTAAATCTATTTTATGGGTATTTCAACTGTTAGAAAATGTAAGCCCCAATTTTCCAAGCTTGACTATACATACAACACAGAAATTATTTTTTTAGAAGCAGCTTCAAGTAGTCCAAATATCTTTTTCCCTTCATAGTAGCTTTTGGCTGTTTTGTAGTACATATTATGGAGTGGATTCCACTGATGTAGTCCAAATATTATTTTTTTAGAAGCAGCTTCATCTACATGTTGCTAATGTTGTAATGCCACAGAAATTTATCTCAGTTCTAAATGCATAATACAATTTTATTTTTATTTTTTAAAATTTTCCTTCAAGTAGCTTGGCTGCTTATTTGCAGTATATATTTTATGAGTGGATTCAACTGGATATAAGTTGGGTTATGAGGCAGCAGCTGATTTCTGAAATTTGAAGTTTCAATTGCTTTCAAAGAAAATATTTAAAGCCACAAGCTTCTTTTCTATCATTTCCATTCCATTTAATTTTTTTCTCTCATTTTGATGATTGATTTTGATTTTCATAATCAGCATATCCTACAGGCCAACTGCATTCCCATTTACTTGAATTCATATTCTTGAAAAGGTTAAAGGATGCAGTTTTAAGTGATTGAAATTAAAAATAACATGATGATCGAGAATCAAGATATAATTTCCAATGACAAATGCAAACACCAAAAAACTTTGTTTACAGATTATTTTATGAAAACGTAGATGAAAAATTAACAATGTTCCTTAAAAAAATGATGATACACTATTTTACAAATCAAAACAAGATCAAATTAACAAAACAAAGATTAAAAAGAAAAAAGAAAATAAACCCCAAAAAATATTTACAAATCAAAGATTACTGTACGGGGAGCAAATATTCCGGCAAGCCCGTACTCCTTTCTTCCGAGCTCCGTTTCTGTCCGATCACCTGCGAGCAAATAACGGTGAGCTACCCGGCGGTGTGTGGCCGGAAAAACCCTCCGACGATCAAGTTAGCACACACCTTAGGATAGAGAGAAGAGAAGGGAGAGAGTTTAGTGTTCAAATACATGGGTTTTCCCCTTTTTTCTTATCCATTGGGTAGGGTAGGTGATATTCTTTGAATATCCACAGGAGATGGGTTGGGGATGGATACCCACTAATTTCCCCATATGTTTTTTATTTTTATTTTTATTTTTATTTTAAGATTTACAACCAAAACTAAATATACATTCAATCTTTTTTCTTTTATTTATTTAATTTATTTATTTCAGGTTCACAACCAACTTCTTCTTCTTCTCTTCTCTTTTTTTTTTTTTTTTTTAAATCCCACCAAAAGCTAAATAATATACCTCTAATATTTTTTATTATTATTATTTTTTATTTTAAGTTCACAACCATTTTTTTTTAATTTTTAAGATTCACAACCAAAGCTAAATATATATCAATCTTTTTTTATTTTATTTTTTTATTGTTATTTTTTATTTTTAAGGTTTTAACAATCATTTTTTTTAGATTCACACAAAGCTAAATATACATTCAATCTTATTTTATTTATTTGGTCAACAATAAATCAAATACACTTAATTAATATTGTCACATATTCTTGTCAAATTTTATGCATATCTAGAATTTTTTAATTTATTTAAAAAAATTAAGGATATTGTCTAGTGCATGTTTCAGTTTGCTTTTTTATGTTATTTTATTTTGTTATGTATTGTAATTTTAGAATGGTTTGCTTGTTCTAAAATTTCAATTAACGAGTATGAATCTATTTGTTTTATGCTATCCAACAATTTAATAAACTATATTATTATATATATATGTAATGTAATTTGAAAATAGGAAAATTGTAGAGAATTGAAACAAGCATGAGTCGTGATTGTTAGAAAGGATGGGTACAAAGATTTATGTGCTGGAAAAACAAAAGGGGATACAAAGTTTTAACTAAATAATTTTTTTTTTAAATAAAAGAATTTTTCTTAGTTATGACAGATTTAACTGAATCAGCTTGTTTCCCAATGTTATGCGTCATTTATTTAGATAAAAATATTTTTTACTGAAAAATATTTTTATAAAAAATAAAAAATACATTTTTTATATTTGGTGGTGGTGGTGATGAAACGAAGGTGAAAGTAGAGATTGTGACATAGTGGTGGGGTGGTGGCGGTAGTGATGGTATGGCTATGGTGATGGTAGTGGCTGTGATGAAGGTGAGAATAGTGGTGATGTGTTGCGAAATTAGTAAAAATTTAATTGAAAAATACTTTTTTGTTTTTTAAAAGTAACAAACAACAAAATTCGTTGGGGACTAAAAGAAGAAGATGGAGGATGGATTGGGTGTGGTAATGCATAAGATATCTTAAAATGAGTGGTTCAGATTTGTTAAAAGGTATAATTAGATTTTGGTTAATTAAAAATAAATGGTCATATTGCTAAGAGAAGTATTTGAATGTCTAACAGGTTCTTTCACATTTATTAACATTTGTAAACAGGTTTTTTTAACATGTATGGGAAAAGAGTGAGAGAGAGAGAGAGAGATGGTTGTAATTTTTTTTTAATCTTCCACGTTCTTTCCACATTTTTTTTTAATTACTAACTTATTTGATTGTCTCAAAATTATATATTTGATTATTATAAAACAAACTTTTTAATTAATTAATTAATGTGTATTTGAATTTTGTGTTGTTGAACCCAATTTAATAAATAAATAAGATGGAATGTATTTTTAGCTTTGTTGTGACCTAAAAAATAAAAAAATAAGTTGTTAACATTAATATATTAAAAAAGAAAAAAAAAAAGTTGAAGGTATATTTAGCTAAAACTTAAAAAAAAAAAAAAAAAAAAAAAAAAACAAAAGAAGTTGTTAACATTAAATATTATATAAAAAGGAAGAAAAGATTGAAGGTATATTTGGCTTTGTTGGTTGATGGGAATCTTTACACAAAAAAAAATGGTACAAATTGTCTAACATTAATGAATACTTTTAAAAAGAAAGAAAAAAGATTGAAAGGTAACAGTTTAATTTTTGTTTGTGAACGCTTAGTACAAAAAAAAAAAAACAAGTTTATGTTAACATGAAGATATATTTAGAAAGAAAGAGCAAAAAGAGAGCGGAAGGAATGTTGGAAGGTAAATATAATTTAGTTTTGTTGTGACCTATAAAATAAAAAATAAAAAAAAGAATTGTTGGTAACAATTAGAATAAATTAAAAAAGGAAGAAAAAAAACAAAAATCTTGAAAGGTACATTTCAGGGCTTTTTGCTTGTGAACCTTTAAAAAAAAAAAAATTGTAACATTATATAATAAATAATAATATAAAATGGGGATTAAAGTGGGTTGGG